TTCCTCTTCCCCCTGCCTCTTACCTCGTACCCGCCTCTTCCCCCCCCCCCTGCGCGTTGCCAACTGCTGCTAGCCGCGGCGCTGTCGCCGTTCCCCTGGGCCTCCAAACCCCAGGGAGTCGAGCGGAACGCGGCTTCATGGGGAACCAAACGAGACCTCTCATTTCCCTGGCGCCGCCAAACCCACAAGCGACGGCTTCGCGCGCGTGCGGGGCCTGGGGGGTCCAGCGGAGTGCGGTCTTACGCAAATGCAAACTACTACTTCCCTAGCGGGGCTCTGCCAACTGGGCAAGGGTCGGCCTTTCGCGTGCTCCTGGGGAGTTTCAGCGGAATGCTGCCTTCCTTACACAGGTCCAAACTATTACTCCCTTCCCTGGGCGCTGCAAGTTGCGCAAGTACGAACACTGTCGCGGGCTTTTGGGAGGTCGAGCGAGTGTGGTCCTACCCGCGTCCAGGCTAATGCTCCCCCCCTCGGTGTACAACTGTCGGTGCTCTCGTGAACTCCTGGGGGGCCCAACAGAGTGCGGTCGTATTCATATCGCAGTTCTTGCTCCCCTCCCTGGGTGGCGCCACCTGCGCAACTGCCGTAACGTGTGAGATTGAGGGGGTCAGCGGATTGCGGTCTTATTGATACTTCAACTATAACTTCACTCCCTGGGTGCGTCAACTGCGCAGCATCCGCCGCATTCATGAGGTTGGGTGGGGGGGGGGGCGTGCGGCGCAACACTGTCTTGCGCGGATCCTGGGGCGATGCCCCTTGCGCAGCTGTCGGCGCTGTCGTGAGTTCCCGGGCAGTCCAACGGGGTGCGGTCATGCATTCGAACTGGGCGGTGCCACCGCGCAAACGTCGGCACGCGGGCTTCTGACATTGTAGACCATCGGCGGTCCTGCCCGGGCACCGATTCTCGGGGCCCGGCTCGCACGCCGGCCCGCGATTCGCACATGACTCCCTAATTGAGAATCGAGACGTTGATGACCTGGACAAAGATGACCCATGGGCGGATCTCCGTTAGTTGCGACTTCGGCCGCCCTTTCCCGTCCTCGACCTCCTGGAAATCGAGCCGGGTGACTCGAATAACTGTCTTCCACGAGGTTTCAGATCAGGGGCTGGCTCGGGATCCTCTGGGCCATTCGAGCCGCCAGGCTCGGTCTTTGGGCGCTCTTCGCACGGGGATTGTTTCGCGTCCACCGGGTCGCCCCCAGGGTTTTTCCGTGGCGAATCTCTATTCCAGACCCCCCGGACGAGGCCGCGAGGTCCCTCTGACGTTCGACGCTGTCCCGCGGGCTCTGTGACTTCCCCTTTCTCCGGACATAGTCCATACCGCGCATCTCCGGGGTCCGATCAGATGCCGATCCAGAACTCTTCTCGGACGAGCTCGATACTGTCATCGCTTTCACCGGCGCGGCGATGTTCTCAGTCTCGTCTTTCTCGTCCGATGAGCTGGAGTTCGCGACGTAGGCCTGATTGACGCCCCCCAACCGCGGGTTGCGCGGGCAGGGCTTTCCCCCATACCAATCGTCCTCTTCGTCGATATCATCGTCTGGAACAGGAGTGTCCTCTCGCCCTCGATTGACGGGGGTATCATCATATCCCGATGGCTTACCTGCTGGAGACGGGGTTCGTATATTGGAGAAGGGGTTCTTCTTGATCAGCTTCTCAATGGCCCTGTCGTCCTCCACTGCAGGTGATATTGGTCTCTCAGGTGGGTAAGTTTATCTTCTACAACACGGTTGCTTTTGTCTCTCGGATGCGATGTGAGGTCGACTTAGTCGGTCCGTCGACTCGATCCTGAAAAAAGTCCAAACCTTTGGGGCTGGTCTTTCCTCCATTGTTCTTCTCCACGTTCGCGGAGGCATTCGCACTTGCCCCATCTTTATCGACGTGGTCGACTGTCCAAAGCCAAGAGCTTTCGGCTGATAACCCATCTTTACCCAACTTAGGTCCAACCAGGCCAACATCGCCAAGTCAGGTAGTTCTCATTGCAGGGGCCCATGCTAGCGGGTCAATGGACATCGTGGAATGTATAAGGATAAGTGTTTCCCGTCAAGCTGTGGGCAAGGAAAGTATACGGTATGAGCACGCGCGCGCGGGGCGAGCGTGGGCCTTTTTCCTCTCCGAACCACAAGTAGCTGCAGACAGCCAAGCATGCGTCTGCGCATGTGGTCATATATACATCAACGGCGGCAGGGAGCGCGTGGTAACGACTCTGTGTGCTTCTGGACTTTGGCCGCGCGTGTTTGTGTCTTTGCGTTTGTGCTGGTGTGTTCGGAATGCTGTTTTACTGGTCTTCGACTGACCCTCGATGTTTCGATGGTTGTCGGGCGAAATTTTGACTCAAACCCTCCTCATCGGGCGCTCGTATTGAATAGAACGCTGCCGCTTTTCCTCTTCTCCCTGCCTCTTACCTCGTACCCGCCCCCCCCCCTCCCCTCCCTGCGCGTTGCCATATGCTGCTAGCCGCGGCGCCGTCGCCGTTCCCCTGCACCTCCAAGCCCCAGAAGGTCGAGCGGAACGCGGCTTCATGGGGAACCAAACGAGACCTCTCTCTCCCCTGGCGCTGCCAAACCCACAAGTGACGGCTTCGCGCGCGCGCGGGGCCTGGGGGGTCCAGCGGAGCGCGGTCTTGCACAAATGCAAACTACGACTTCCCTAGCGGGGCTCTGCCAACTGGGCGAGTGTCGGCCTTTCGCGTGCCCCTGGGGAGTTCCAGCGGAATGCTGCCTTCCTTGCACAGGTCAAAACTATTGCCCCCTTCCCTGGGCGCTGCAAGTTGCGCAAATACGAACGCAGTCGCGGGCTTTTGGGAGGTCAAGCGAATGTGGCCCTACCCGCGTCCAGGCTATTACCCCCCCCCCCCCCCCCTCGGTGTGCAACTGTCGGTGCTCTCGTGAACTCCTGGGAGGCCCAACGGAATGCGGTCGTATTCGCATCGCAGTTATTGCCCCCCTCCCTGGGTGGCGCCACCTGCGCAACTGCCGTAACTTGTGAGATTGAGGGGGTCAGCGGACTGCGGTCTCATTGATGCCCCAGCTATTACTTCACTCCCTGTGTGTGTCAACTGCGCAGCTGCCGCCGCATTCGCGAGGTTGGGCGTGGGGCGGGGGGGGTGGGGGTGGCGGGGGGAGGGGCGTGCAGCGCAACGCTGTCTTGCGCGGATCCTGGGGCGATGCCCCTTGCGCAGCTGTCGGCGCTGTCGTGAGTTCCCGGGCAGTCCAACGGGGTGCGGTCATGCGTCCGAACTGGGCGGTGCCACCGCGCAAACGTCGGCACTTTCGTGAACCCCTGCGAGGTCAAATCCACGGAGTGCGCCGATCCAAACTAGGCTTGCCCGTCTCCCACGCCAAGACCGCCAATGTCCCGTCGCCAACGGACTGCCATGGCCAGGCCAGGCGCGACCGGCGTCATCGTCGAATCTGGATCAAAGACGGCGGCGATACGGACGGGCTGTGGATACATTTGTACGCCGTGCTCCCCGGAACCAGGACGGCGGACAGGGGTGCGCAAATGGGGGGGAACGTCTGTCTCCCAAAGGAGGCAATGGGAAGCGAACGCCTGTCTCACATATATTACACTGCTCGATTTGAGTGTTCCATATCAGACGGCGGTTCTCCCATGTTTGCGGCGCAACTCCTAACGTGGCCATTCTAGTTGCGCCACTATTGTCGAGGGCGGCAGCCCCCCGCTCAGACATTAAGATGCGCAGCGCCGGCGGGCGGCCAAAGGTTGCAACGCATGCGAATGTCCCAAAAGTGTCCCTAAGCTGCCGCGGCGGGTCGACAAAAGGGTTCGAAAGTGTCCCTTAAGGGGCCCAATGCTGCATTGCACTGGGAGAAGAACACCTAACACATGCATCCACTGTTTGGCGGGGCACAGCGGCCTCGCGCACGAGGCCCGGGCGTCGCCGCGCAACCCCTCGGGGTCCGACGTTGCCCCATCAGCGGAATGATGCCAGATGCTTCACGCGCGTAGAGTCCAATGCGCAGTGAACCGCTGGCACAGTCCCTGCGCCGAGCATGCTCAACCAGGCGCAAAGCAACAAAGAGCCCCTCAAAGGTCCCTGAAATGTGCCAGAGGTGCTGCATTCTTCACCCTGGGTTTGTAGACCCCCCATTGCCACTCACCCGAACAACTTGCTGATGGCCTGGGACCCGGGGCTGGAGTCTCTCTCCCGCAGCACTCCCGTGCACGAGGCGAGGCGGCGTGACTGTGACCTCTTTCGCGCCCGCACGGTCGATTGCATGGACTAAGCCAAGGGGATGGCACGCAAGCTCGGCCTCGCCGGCTTCCTGCGTGGCCAATGAGCGATGGAATCGCCAGCGGAGCTGGCGTCGTCGTCCCCTTTCAGGGCTGGCGGTACTGGCCGTGGGGCCTTCACAATTGACCGAAGGGATGGCACGCAAGCTCGGCCTCGCCAGTCTTCTGCGTGGCCACCGACTGAGCCAAGGGACCGCCAGATGAGCCGACAACCCCAGCATGTATTACTAACGCCAAGACGGGGGCGCGCGTGACTACGCGAACGGTGTGGCCATCTGGGAGCGTTCCTGCGTGAACGACGTGACGAAACTCCGCTTTTCCTCCTACCATCGCGTCCCTTCCTCCTCCCCCTTCATGCCGGCCCGCATCTCCTCTTCGTCCTCGTCGTCGCCCGTCTTCTTTGTCCACTTTTCCTGCGCTCATTCCTTCTCTTTTCTTCGTCGTTGTCGATTTTCTCTTCTCCCCCCTCCGCTTCTATTTTCCGGCCCTGCCTCAAGTCGGTCTCATGGAGCGTTCGGCGAAACAAATCCGATACAACCCAACACAAGATCGCGTTGCTTTTCGCATCATCGTGTTGTACGAGATGGGCCCGTTGATGTTGCAACTTATTGCAGATGGGTAGGGTACGTCCGTGGGTACTTTCCCATCGGTTTCAATATTGTTTCCAGTTGTGTCTGGAATGTCATGAACATGTACATGTATGGTGGATTACGGAGGTTCTCTGAGGTTTCTGGAGGGGGAGTGGCTCCTTGACCATCTGGATGGAGGCGTTGCGCACGCAAATAACCTGAATATTCAAGCCGATATCAGCGAGGAATGCAACACCACGTTGACTGTCGATGTTGGCGATGATCACAATTGCGTTCGTACGTGGAATACCGCCACGGTCGATTGCAAGGCACTGCTTCCACACTGCATCGCCAACAAACATTCGCCGCCGCCGACGAGACTGCAAGCAATGAGCAGTGGGTCGTCACGTTGCGCTCGCACAAAAGACTGTGTAGCACTAGCTTCCACATGAATTGTAGACCGACCGAGCCTCTCTTGCCCCCTCTCTATCTCAGATGTCCGCCCCTGGCGCCAGAAATGTCTGAACACTTCGGCCACTGGGGTTCCTGAGATGTTGCGGCGAACCTTACAACAACAAATGGGGGGAGTGGGGATCCTGGAACATACCTTGCCATCGCTCGGACATCCACTCCCCGTGTTTTTTTTCGATTTCGTGCTTGATTTTTGTTGTCAGATGATACAGGATGCTCACCAAAGGCCTTCGCCGAAAACAAATGCACAAGTCTGAACGATGCCAAGTACATAGACAAACGCAATTGTAATGATGCAACACTTCATCAGGGCAACCACTGCGTCCTTGCCTGCTCGGACCATCTTTGCTTGCTCGGTCGTCCTTCCCTCGTCGGTTCAAATAGATTATCACGGTCGGCTGTAGAACGAACCACGTCACAAATCCTGACCCATAAGTGCTTCTGAATCCGTGAGTTACTTCATGCCGTGGCCTCGGAAAATCTCGATCCATCTTCGAGTCTGATTTTTCATCGCTTGCTGTTTTTCTCGGCCCTGGGGCGAGAAAACTGCCTCTCAAAACCCGCGACTTGGAACACACCAATCTGCCGTGTTGCTTCAGGACGCTGTCGGTTTACGAGAGTAAAGGTGAGGAGCAATGACGCAATGACCCCCAAATGCCCCCTCCTGTGACTGCATTGTGTCCCGAAATTCTCGAGACTCCCACAAGCAACCCCACATATTGTCAAACACCACCCGAACCATGGATCCTTCCCTTCTCCTTCTGCTCCTCTGTCCCAGACCTCCGACGTTGTGATTCCCCTGCAACGATTGCGCCGAAAGGTCTCTGGCCGAAATCGAAAGATTTGGCGAAAACGCCGGGACGACTTCGCGGTGCGGCCATGTTCCCGGCCTCCCAAATCCGGGACCTGTGCCCTTCAGCTGGGCGGCCGGGCCCGGTTCTGGGGTTCCCGCCGCTGTATGTTTCCCAAATTCTCGAGCGCCTGGCTGCGGCCAAGGACCTGGGTCTTTGCGACAATGAAAAGTGAAAGAGATGCCGGCCCCCTTCGTGTTTTTCTCTTCGCACGGCCTTCGTCCTTGGGTTGCCCGTTCATCTTCCCCGAGAGAGCCGAGCGAGGTAATTTACCATGTGCGATCTTCCATGCCAACCCACTGCAACACACACAAAGACACAGACACAGACACAGACACAGACACACACACACACACACACCAACACCACACACCGCACACCACACACACACACACCACACCACACACACCACACACCACATACCAGACACCACACACCACACAACCACACAGCACACAGCGCACAACACACACAGCACACAGCACACAGCACACACCACAGGCAACTCCCAACCCTCAACACACACACATACACACAAACGCACGCAGACACATACACAAGCAAACACACACAAGCACACACACAAACGCACACACAATCACACACGCACACACAAGGACACAGACACACGCAAACACGCACACACACAAGCACAAAAAAAAACACCCACAAGCACACACGCAGACACACACCCAAACACACACACAAACCCACACAGAGACCCGCACACACGCAAACACACACAACCACAACCACACACAAGCACACACGTAACCACACACACAAACACACACACACACACACGCAAACACACAAACAGACAAACATGAATACACAGCCACACACAACCACACATAACCACACACAACCCCCCCACACACACACACACACACAGACACACACACACAGCCACACAGCCACACAAACACATAAACACACACATACACACACAAGCACACACACATAACCACACACAAACACAGACGCACAGACACACAAAGACACACACATACACAGACACACACGCACACAACCACACACACAACCACAAACAACACACACACACACGCCCAAATCCAATCCCCCCTTGCGCACCGACATCCCCAGACCCCTTCGCACATTCCGCCGTCCTGCACCCCAAAGACGATGAGGAAGGGGGGAAGGGAGAAGAGCGAAGGGGGAGGAGCGGGGAGTGGTGCGGGGAGGGGGGGGGAAGGTAATTAAGGGTTTTAAATAAGTCCCCTGGGAACAACAGTCTTCAAGGTTAGGCCAGCGACAATGAAAGAGCGTTCCACCGTCTTGTGTTTACCAACGGGATTGATTGAGCGCAAGATGGCAACATGATCCCTTTGGTGGCGGATCGCAGATTGAATCCCTCGGTTCCTTATTCTGGGTTACAAGGTTACAGCCCCACTACGACCGCCCAAATAGTAGAGCTCCAATAATACAGCTCCAAAGGGGCAGCTCCACTCTTACCGCCCGAGTGCTACAGCTTCAGTAGTAAAGGCCCAATACTGCAACCTCAAAATTACAGTCCCAGTACTACAGGGCCCAGTACTACAGGGGTACTTAGGAGGAAACCAGGAGGAGAAACCAACACACACTTTAACATTTAATAGAAAAACTGTTTTTTTCTATATTGGTGTTCGCATTGCAACCAATTGTAACAACACAGCGTTTTCAGCTCCCGGAAGTCCCAAACATTGCGTGTGACACAGATTTCAACATCGGAAGGCAACGGAATCTTGTAAAACAAAACGCTTTGAGCCTCTGGAGAGCCAAAACGCAATGTCTTACCGTGTGTTTATGCATCCCGTTGTACAAAAAAAATGACCCACGAACCCAGAAAGGGATATAGAACCGCATGCATGGAAACGTTTTCACGACACCGTATTGGGCGACGGGCACTTCCACGAGACACCCCGCGAAACATTCCACGAGACACGGGCGACCGTTTTCAACGTTTTCCTGGAAACATTCCACGTGACACCCCGCGAAGCAGTCCACGAGACACCCCACGAAACATTCCACGACGACAAGCAACCAATCAACCAAGGCGGTGTGGTCGTGCTGGGGAGGTGTCGTGCTGGGGTGTGGTCGTGCTGGGGTGTGGTCGTGCTGGGGGGTGGTCGTGCTGGGGGGGTAGTCGTGCAAGGGGGTGGTCGTGCTGGGGTGTGGTCGTGCTGGGGCGTGGTCGTGCTGGGGCGTGGTCGTGCTGGGGTGTGGTCGTGCTGTGGTGAGGTCGTGCTGGGGTGTGATCGTGCTGGGTGATGGTCTTGCTGGGGTGGGGTCGTGCTGGGGTGGGGTAGTGCTGGGGTGTGGTCGTGCTGGGGTTTGGTCGTGCTGCCGTGGGGTCGTGCACCTGGAGAGGGCAAATCTACAGGCACATATGTAAAAACACACAGGTTCGTGCACCTGGAGAAGACAAATCTCTGGGGCGCCCAGATCCCTCAAATTCTACAAAACAAGCGATTCGCTCGAGACATCCTCGGTAATTCTGCGGAGCAAGCGTTTCGCTCGAGACATCCTCAACACACGAAAGAATGGCCCGCACCCTGTGATTTATCGATCGGGATTTCAAAAAGCAAGCGTTTCGCCTGAGACATCCTCAAATTTTAATCCGCCGGCCCACCTCGACCTCGATATTTATCAAGGAAAGAATCCGCCGGCCCACCTCAGTTGAGGCATCAAGGACAAATTTACCACACTAAAAGAGAACCCTGGGCCTGCGCCCTTTCCGGGAACATGATGGACCCACGAACCCGGAAAGGAATATAGACATGTGCAGCATGGTCACGTTTTCACGATACCCAACTGGGCGACACCTCACAAAACATCCCACGAGACACCCCGCGAAACATCCCACGAGACACCTCACAAAACATTCCACGAGACACCTCACGAAACATTCCACGAGACACCCCGTGAAACATTCCACGAGACACCCCACGAACAAGCAACCACTCAACCAAACACCCCACGAAACATTCCACGGGGGTGCGACTGGGAGTGGTCGTGCTGGGGTGTGGTCGTGCTGGGGTGTGGTCGCGCTGGGGGTGTGGTCGTGCTGGGGGGTGGTCGTGCTGGGGCGTGGTCGTGCTGGGGGGTGGTCGTGCTGGGGCGTGGTCGTGCTGGGGTGTGATCGTGCTGTGGTGAGGTCGTGCTGGGTGTGCTGGGGTGTGGTGTCGTGCTGGGGTGGGGTCGTGCTGGGGTGTGGTCGTGCTAGGGTGTGGTCGTGATGGGGTGGGGTCGTGCTGGGGTGGGGCACCTGGAGAAGGCAAATCTCTGGGACGCCCAAATCCCTCAAACTCTGCAAAACAAGCGTGTCGCTCGAGACATTCTCAACAAATTCTGAACATGATCGACCCACGAACCCGGAAAGGAATATAGCAATGCAAGGCATGGCAACGTTTCAAAGACACCTGAGTGGGCGACGGGCTAATGCAATGCTAAATGTATCGATCTTGATGTACTGTGCTGAGAGCTGTACTGTGCTGCGCCGTGCTGAACTGCGATGTGCCATGCCGCGATGGTGTTATATATATATATATACACATACATAGCGTTGTGGATCGAGTCCTCGTTGCTACCGAGTCCTGACCGAACTGATCTGGATCTTAAGCTCGAGTTGCCTAAGCAGATGGTAGCTGCCCCAGAGTTAATCGACAGACGTGACATGCCAGGAGGACGCGCCGCGGAACGTCCCAAGGGACGCGCCAGGCGACGTGCCAGGGAACGTGCCATGGGCACGCACCGCGGGACGTGCGAAGGGGGCGCGCTACGGAACGTTTCAATGGACGTGCCGCGGAACGTGCCAGGTGACGCGCCGCGCGACGTGCCAGGTGGACTCGCCACGGAACGCTCCAAGGAGCGTGCCAAGGTGCAATGTTCAATGTATCGATCTTGATGCACCGTGCCGAAAGCTGTGCTGTGCTGCGCCGTGCTGAGTTGCGATGTGCCATGCCGATTGTAACCTATATATAGCGTTGTGGATCGAGTCCTCGTTGCCACCGAGTCCTGACCGAACTGATCTGGATCTT